GTCTGCCTGTTGAAAAAATTTCTTTATGGCTTAAAGCAAGCCCCTAGACAGTGGTATAAAAAGTTCAATTCTTACATTGAGACCTTGGGTTTTATTAAAAGCAGTTATGACTCCTGTCTCTTCTTCAAAGGGTCAGGAAGACTTGAATCTATTTATCAGCTTTTATACGTTGATGATATGTTACTTGCTTGTCAAACCAGATCTGAAATAGATTTTATTAAATCAAAACTAAAATCTGAGTTTGAAATGAAAGATTTAGGGCAAGCTAAAAAGATATTAGGCATGGAAATAGAAAGGAACGGAACTGAATGCATGTTATGGCTTAGACAGGGCACTTATATTAAGAAAATACTTGAGAAATTTTCTATGATTGATTGCAAACTTGCATCTTTGCCTATTGCAAATCACTTCAAACTTTCTAGTGAACAGTCACCTAAAACTGATGAAGAGTTTAAAAGAATGGAATCTATTCCTTATGCTAACACTGTTGGGTCCATCATATATCTTATGGTTTGCACCAAACCTGACCGGCTCATGGTATAAGCATTTTAAGTAGATTTATGGCTAATTCTGGTGAAACACATTGGCTTGCTATGAAATGGATGTTAAAATACTTGAAAGGCTTATCTGACTTAGGTCTGTTGTTTAAAAAATGTAGTGATGGCATTGTTTTAAAAGGTTATACTGATTTTGATTTTGCTGGAGATTTAGATAAAAGAAGGTCTACCTCTTCTTATGTTTTCACTTTGTGTGATGGCTGCATTAGCTGAAAATCTCAATTGCAGAAACTTGTTGCCTTATCTTCTACTGAGACAGAGTATATAGCTGTATGTGATGCTGTTAAGGAGAGTCTTTGGTTAAGAGGGTTACTGAATGAAATTGGTTTTATGAATGACTCTGTCAAGATTTATACTGATAATCACAGAGTACTATACATCTTAGCAAAAATCCTATGTATCATGATCGAACTAAACATGTTGACATTAAGTTCCACTTTGTGAGGAATATGGCTGAAAAAGGTTTGATCAGTCTTGTGAAAATTTCAACTGAGTTCAATCCCTCTGATTTTGGAACCAAAGTTCTACATTTGAATAAATTTAGAAACTGCTAGAATACTCCAAACATTACTGACTTGCAGTAAGGATCAGAATAATTAAGTAGAGTTATGCATGAGTATAAATTCTAACTTTTCTGTTTTTTGTTTTTACAAGTTAAATAAGAGTAAATGAAACATATTGTGCCTCTAGTACATTAAGTCACAAAGAATTATTCAGTAAGGTGGAGATTGTTATGTTTTGGGCTGCCTTATAATTACTTGGCCCTGTTGGTTATATTGGGCATGTCTTGTAATGTTTCCTTTGGCCTAGAATCGTTTCCTTTTGGGTTCTGCTATCTGGCCTTACACTTGACCAGATCTTCACTGTTGATTGGAACTGTTTGATCTCCTACTTTAAGTGATTCTCGAAGCTTCATTTCTGGAGTCGGTTGGAGTGACTTTGTGAGATATTCTCTCCGTGTGATTACGGTTATCTCTCTTTCTCTATGTCGTTTGAAAATCTGATGATTTTTTGTGTAATTCTGATGAAGTGCATAAAGAGTTAGAATTTATGATGAAGTGAGATCGTAAGGCAAAATAATGATTTCATGATAACTTCGAATTTGTCCGTTTTTGACAAATTGATAGTCTAATTTGATTGGAAACAGACCAATGATCACAACTCATCGCCTTTGGCCATGACATACGTCGGATTTCGGGCCAATTCTGTCATTTAGGCACTCGATTAAGCGTTTTTGCCGTTTATGGTAATTTTTATTTTGGTCATATCTCATTCAATAAAATTCGAATTTGGATTCCATTTGTTGGAGGACGATCCTGAATATTAGGAGTTTCCATTTAAATCAAAATCTCGAATTTTTCCATTTATGAAAAAAAATATCTTTTTTTTTTAATTATTTATTTTTCGAATTTTTTAGAGTTTTACTATTTAATGTATTGTAAACCTTTGAGGCGAATTATTGAATTGAATAAGAATTTTCGTGAGTTTTCTCTCATCTTTGTGAGGTTGTTTATATTTTCTATAATCTTCCGCTACGTCGAATTCCCTGAGTGATAAGGCAGTGAGTACACTTGATGTATATTCTATGAGATTGTGCATAATTTTTGAGTGAATCTTGAGGCGAGAGAAACATTGAAGAAATTTCTGATTTCTTCATACATTGTAATTTGTTCTTGGTGATTTTAGTGGAGTTAGAGCTCAATCCCTTTGTGTGGATGCTCAGTTTGCGAGTAGGCCTAATGCTGAATATCCGGACCCATTTTTGGGTAAAAAAATCCTTTGTGTTGGTTCTTTATTTCTTACACTTTTACTTAGTTTTTGTGTTCTTTGTGAATTTTGGGACCAACAAATAGATATTATGATCATTATATATTAAGGGCACTTGAAATATTTCAACAATATGTAAAATGATAATTTTAACATTTTAACTTAAAAAAGGTCTCAAAAATTTTTCTAAAGTAAGTTAGGTTTAAGCCCCTGTTTGACACCCATTTTATTTGGAAAATAATTTTTGGAATAGTGATTGATAGAAGATTGCGTGGTTAAAAAGTAAGAAGAATTTTTGGGTTTATGTGTAATATTATTTTATTAATAAAATGTGTGGTTGAAATGAAAAATGAGAAATAAAATGTGAAATAAAATGAAAAAAAATGGGTGTCAAACAGGGGCTAAAATTTTTGGGAAGATTTTACATTCAAGAGAATAAGTTTAGCCTATTTCAAAAATAAGAAAACAAGTTTGAAATTTTCAAAATCAGATTTTTATTAAAATTTTTAAAATTTTTATTTATGAAATAATAAATTAATAAAAATTTTTAAATTTATTATTTAAATATTTAATTCTAATATAATATAATTAACACATCCCACATTCACCACCCTTACAGCTACGGCGACTGTTCCGGCGACTTTTCCAACGACATTCCAGCGACTTTCCGGCGAATTTCCCGACGACATTCCAGCGAACTTTTCTGTGCCTTCCCAACGACTGTTCCTGCGAACTTTTTCGATTCTGACAATTATTTATATTATTAATTAAATATTTATTTATTTTATTAATTAAATATAATGATGTTACAATTATACAATTAATGGTCACATATACATAATTAATTGATCACAGATTATTTTTGAAGTCACAAATCAAAAAATTTATAGGTCGCGATTTTTTTATTGGTCACAGATCAAAAATTTTGTAGGTCACGAATTATTTCGAGATCACAAATCAGGTCACATATTATTTTATTAGTCACAAATCAAAAAATTACAAGTCACGGTTATCTATCAGTCACATATTTTCAAATTTATTGGTCACGTATTAATTTTAAATCACAATTTTAAGATCACAGTTAGATTTTTTTTGTGACCACCACCAATTTCTGTGACCACCTCCGTCACAGATTAATTTTTAGTCACAATTTTAAGGTCACCACCACCTAATTTTGTGACCACTCCCATGACCACCACCGACTTCTGTGACCACTCCCATGACCACCACCGACTTCTGTGACCACCCCCGTGACCACCACCGACAACTATGACCACTCCCATGACCACCACCTCTTGAGTCATCACTGCCACCAGCCACGACGTTGTCGCTGTCACCAGTTTATTTCATTGGTCACGTATTATCAAATTATTGATTACAACTTATTTCCCGATTACAAATCAAAAACCAAACCATCAATAACCAAACCACACCACTGTTAAACACCACACCCCCAGTTACTGAATCTAAAGTTGAAAAACACAAAATGTAAAAGTAGAGACGCACACGAATGCAAAAATCTAACACAAAATTCACTAGATTTAACTCTCTGTTTGTTCCTTCAGGCTTCGGATTGTGCTCCCAACAGTAACAGCACTAGCAGTGTTCAATTTACCGACGCCACCATTGTCCAAAAAACCTCAAATCCCTCCCCAAATTTTTTGCAGCGGCAAGTTCTACCACACAAATCCACCACACAAATCGCCTTTCGACACCGCTGCAATCAACCGCCTGTGCACCGCCAACACCATGAGTCACACGTGTACACCCCTATCATTTTACGACTTCGCAGCAGTCACCCATCTCACAGCATCGATCTCCAGCACCACCACACAAATAACACAAATCAACCATCTCCACCACTTGCCGGCGCTCAGATCGATGCTGTGATGACTTCGCATCAGTCGCGGCCACCTCCACCACATGCCGACGCTCATATTTTGACAGGCCAAGTCGACTCGAAAACCACCCCCAAAAATATGAGAGGAAGAAGATGGAGATGGAGAGTGGTCTCCGATAGTGGGCAAAGACGGTGGGCGGCAACGGGTTGCATAGAGAGAAAATGGAGGAAGGCGATGGGCTGTGCCGTCACGAGAGAAATGTAGAGAAAGAGAGGCAACATGTTGCTGTCCGATGGATTCGAAATAGAGAGAGGGGAGAGGGAAGAGTGGGTAATTAGAGTTTGTGAAATTGTGTATTGGATTATATATATTTAATAAATATATATATATTTTATAAAAAAATTCTGACTTTTGAAATATCAAATTTCAAATCTGATTTTAGAGTTTTGAATACTTAAAGTACGTTTTGGTGTAATTTCCACAAAATCTTTTGAATGCTGACTTGACCAGGCGTTCTATAAAAATTTCCCGTTTTATTTCATCCGCGGTACATCGGCGAGAACAAACAAGTTCATTATTGTCCAGCTGTCGATACACACCCGCTCCCCCCCCTCTCTCTTTGTAAAATAGGAGGGAAGGGCAAATCATTTTCAAAGCGCCCCAGCTCTATATAGATATATATATTGACTTCTGCTCTCTCTAAAATCCATCTGCGTCATTTGATTTCAAATTTTAAACCTCCTCGCACAATTTACGTACACCAGTTTCGGTCCGCACAGGTGTTCACGGGTTCTTCTTAGGGTTTTAACGCCAGAGACGAAGTGCTGACCTTTCAATGGCGGCGGAGAAACTACGCGATTTGAGTCAGCCCATTGATGTTGCTTTACTCGATGCCACTGTTGCCGCTTTCTATGGCACCGGATCTAAAGAAGAGGTCTCTAACGTTTTCCTTTCATTCCCTTTTTTTCCCTATCCCCAATTCAGTTTTGTTTGTTTGTGTAATTTTCATTCAAAAAATCAGTTGCAAATGTGGTGATATTCGGAGTCTTGAACGAGCATAGCCTCCTCTGTATAATTAATAGGATTTAGACTCGGTGGAATTAAGATATAGTACTAGGAGCTCTCTCATTTTAAACTTATTATTATTTTTTATTTCCTGTGTATTTAAGTTGATTATGAGTATTCCGTTCGGTTCACTTGAGATTGAGTGAAATGGAATTTGACAGACGTAAATAGTGAATGGTGTGACCTTAGCTCACGGTGCACTTGATTTTGACACATGAATCCGAGACATATATATGAAAATTAGAGTCAGAAAGGACTTGAGAAGAAAATCAAGGACGCATGGTGTATAAAGGGAACAGAAAAATAACAGAACACACGGGAGATTGACTGAGCAGCTAATCTTGTATTGCACCCCTCAAACATGCACAAAAATTAAAAAGAACAAAGAAAACATCAATTTTGTAGTGGTGGGTATTGGATTGGCGGAACAGTGGCTTGTCAGTTTGTGGTGCCGTACAGATGGATTTGCATTATTATGAGTGAATGCTGATATAGATCAGATCATGAAGTATGATTAATTGATAACTGCCATGTTGACCACTGAACGGTCTTGTAATGGAGTCCGATCAAGTCTTTTCTTGTAGGGTTTTGGGAGCGGTGCTCTTGGGTTTATTTAGGACTTTGGTTGTCGACTTCCAATTTGAAAGTTGTGAGTTTGATCCCAACTAATACCTAGAGGGGAGTGAATAGGTGTTTGTATACGGAATTTAACTTTGTTAATTAATAATAGCAGCAAATTTAAATTATTAATGTTTCCAGATGAATTCACATGTAATACTATCCTATGTTGAATTACCGCAATTGATATATTGCATGAAGGTAAGTTGTGTTTAAACCCATTTTGAGGAAATAATGAATTCTGGAATAGTGATTGATGGAGGAATGTGTGGTTGAAAAGTTTTAGATTTGTATGTAATATTATTTTATTTGAGGAATGTGTGGTTGAAATGAAGAAAGAAAAAAAAATGAGAATGAGAATTGGTGTTAAACAGGGTATAAATAACTCCACAAAATTGTTGACAGAGAAAACCCCTCCCATGATAAGAACTCTTGGCCCAAGCCAGTAAAATTCATTATAAACGATAAAGATTTACAAACTGTTCAGATTGACTAAACTTTAGTACTTTCTTACCTCCTTATTATAATCACCACTGCCCTCCTGGACTGCATGTTCCTGCACCAACTCCCAACCTTCTGGAATCGTTTACCTCATGTGGATCACTTGAGAACTCTTGTTCTCCTTCAACTGAAACACCGGTCACCTTCCTTGATCTTCAAAACTCTGACAGATTATGCGGAAGTTGGGTTTGGTGTTTTGATTATATGCATTTGATGTTTTTAGTGATTTTGGTTGAATAAAAAGAGGTTGAATAATGTATAGGATGTGATATAAGCAATCTCTCAGATAAAATAATGTTCGACCTTGTCCTTTCACGAAATGAGGCTTGGTATTTATAGTATTTAGGTTTTGGGTTAGTATAGGATAGATAAAACTCTTGAAAAACGCAAATTAGGGTTTTTGGTAACACCGTCGCTCTAGCGAGAGTCCAGCAGCGGGCGAGCGACAGGCGCTCCGCTCGAGCGACAGGCTAGCGAAGGTGTTTTTGATTTGGACGCTCGAGCAACAACTTGGCGGCGGCAAGCAGGAATCCTGCAATTTTTTCTTCTTGTTCCATAACCGAACACAAGAACTCCCAAATCATCTATACAACCTACTAATTTACTTCTTGACTTTTAAAACTCTTTTACTACTCATTTTTGTCTAAAGATTGCCAAAAACTATAAAACCTAACACAGTTTCATGGGTTGAGGAAATTTTGCTCATGCGACTTTTTCTATTTAACAACTTATTTATCTCGAAAGTGTATTTTTAGTTGTTGGTGCTTTATCAGTTACTTAGATTTATGTGTTGATAATTCCAAATGAACGTACTTCCTTCTAAATTCTCATTTTTGAGATTCTCTGGATCTATTTTGTGTAGTCTGCTAATTATTTTTGTAATAAATCAGTTATTTCCATCTTAGGAAAATTAAGTTGCTTTCAGTGCACAAGTTAGCTTTTGAGATTTGCTCATAATTAGGAGTTCTGCCGAATGATGGAATGCATGTGGTGTAACATATGCTGTGCAGTTATTGGCATTACATATAGTAGCTATGAGTATAATGTCTATGTTGGAACTTACTCTACTTGTCTTTTTCCCTGTTTTTGTGACGCAGAGGACTACTGCAGACCATATCTTGCGAGATATGCAAAGTAATCCCGATATGTGGCTTCAAGTTGTTCACATTCTATCTAACACGCAGAACTTGAATACCAAATTTTTCGCTTTGCAGGTTCGTTGCACAAGTACTCTTGCATTTTTGGGCCTTATAATTCCATTTATGACATGGCTTATTGTTGGATTGTTGTGTGCATGCACACCCCTGTTTAGTAGGGGATGGGGATCAATCAATATATCCATTCTTTGTCTTTTACCTTTTTAAATGACTTTCTACGTTCAAAAATTATTTGACTACGTGTTTCTTAATCAGTTAATCTTGTCTGCAAAACCTTCATATTGCAGCTTTGGGAAAATCTTTGTGCTTCAACTGCATGCAAAAGCTATTTAAGCTGCCAAATATGATAGTTGGCTTAGTTCTAACTAATTGTGTCATGTTATGATTATCAGTTTCTCTAATTATTTTATGAAATTGAATCTCCTCACGACCATGCGTGAGGTCTCCTCATGCAAGAATTACTAGCAAAAGGCTTTCATGGCTTCACATTATTCATTTAAGGGTTTGATTGGATCCCATTGACTATGGAACAATGAACCATGGCTGCCAATGCAGGAGTTGATGATTCATTATAACTTGTTTAACTAATCAGATCTAAGGACTTTATGAATGATCTTCCCTCTGATGGATTAGCTTAGAATCACTAGATTTGTCTTCATTATTTGTAAGTTGCAATTAGTCTTGCCTATTGAAGCAGTGGGGCTGCCACGTTGGAGGAACTTCTGTCTTACCATTAATCTTTGTATCTTGATTGCTACATGGGGTGAATTGTGTCTTTTTGGTTATTGACCTTGCGATCAATGGACATCAATGCAAATAGCAGAAATTCTTTTATTCTTAAAATTATTTGTAGATACTGAGGATAGTGGCCACTTGTTCAACTCTCAAATACAGGTTCTAGAAGGTGTTATCAAGTATAGATGGAATGCTTTGCCCGTAGAACAACGAGATGGCATGAAAAACTATATTTCTGAAGTTATAGTTAAGGTATGATCCCCCCACTTTTGGTGGGGAAAAGTGAATGATATGTGCTCTCTGTTGCATATTTATTGAAGAGTATGAATTCTGAACCTTTTCCATTACTTGATCTGTTGAGCTTAGCTTTCAAGTGACGAGTTCTCATTTCGGCGGGAAAGGCTGTATGTCAACAAGCTAAATACTTCATTGGTTCAGGTAATGTAGTTCCATTTCCCAAGATATGCTCAGTAACAGGACTTACAGTTGCATATCAATTATTTTATGCATCAAAAGGACCCTGCTGGGTCTTAGATATTTGTGTTATCTTGATTATGCTATTGCTCTACATATACAGATTTTGAAGCATGAGTGGCCAGCCAGGTGGCAAAGTTTTGTTCCCGACTTAGTTGCAGCTGCAAAAACAAGTGAAACTATATGTGAGAATTGCATGGCTATACTGAAAGTAAGGCAGCAGTCCTATCTCTCCATGATTTTTTTTAATTAAATTACATGCAGTTGACATAGATGTTACTTGTCAGCTTCTAAGTGAAGAGGTCTTCGACTTTTCAAGAGGTGAAATGACTCAACAGAAGATTAAAGAGTTGAAACAATCACTAAACAGGTTACAATTTGAACATCTTCTGATGTGTAGTTGATTGACAACTAAGTCTTCTTTGGTGGTCTGTTGACTGGCACATTTTATGTATTCAGCTTATGTTAGCATCAGGATATATATCCTGAGGTAATTCAATTTGTTTACTACATATTTATTTTTGTATGCATGTGTGCATCTAAATTCTTGAAATTCTGCATCTAGTATAGCTCTTCATTCCAGAGCAATTCTACTTGACAAGAATATTGCATGTCGATCATCCAAAAATTTCGTTCCTTTTTTTTTTCTCACTTTGAGAAATTTGTTGTCTCTTCACAGTGAATTCAAGCTTATTCACGAGTTATGCTTATACGTACTATCGGCATCTCAAAGAGCGGAGCTTATCAGGGCTACTCTGGCGACATTGCATGCATTCCTTTCATGGATTCCTCTGGGCTATATATTTGAATCACCACTGGTTGGCAACTTATTCTTTCTTCTTGTTGATTGTCCTGTGGTGTAATATCGTTGTGAACTTTTTGATTAACCATAGCGTGCTGGAAATTCATGGGTTTTGAAGTTCTTATAAAATTTAAAAGAATTTCAAACCTCACAGCTTGTTCTTTTGTATGAAAGCTTGAAACACTCCTTAAATCTTTCCCCGTACCGGCTTATCGGAATCTTGCCCTTCAATGCCTGACTGAGGTATAATTTTTCTGCTGTCACCTGATGCAATTCTCAATGGAGAAATTCATCCTGAAATTAATGTTGATTGTTGCACGTGTTAACATTCACAGGTTGCTGCTCTCAGTTTTGGGGAATTCTATAACATGCAGTATGCTAAAATGTATAGCATATTCATGATGCAATTGCAGGTATGTGAAGATAATTTTGGTACGTGAGAATTGAACTTTTAATCTTTCGAAGTGACACATATCTCTTAGATCTGATAAATAATATTTGGAGCTTGGGGTTCTATGTTTTAGTGACAATATTGATGTAACTGAACAAGTTTTTGCTGATTAATACACGATTTTTGTTTCTGATTAGGATATTCTCCCTCCCAGCACCAATATTCCGGAGGCTTACTTGAGTGGCAGCACTGAGGAGCAGGTGGGAATTTAATTTTATGACATCTGCTCTACTTTTAAAGCCTCTTATCATTTATATATATACTGATTCTTCTCGTCTTTTATCTTCTCCAGGCATTTATTCAAAACTTGGCTTTGTTTTTCACGTCATTTTATAAGGTTACTCTACCCTCTCCCTCTGCAATAGAAAGTGAACACACAGACATCAAGAAAGCTCCAATCAAAGAATTAATTCGCTTTTCATTGAACAAAACAATACAAGAATTGCAAGAAATGGCCAAAATCATATCTTTGTGAAAGAATTATTATAATCAATTTATACTGTTAAATCCTACGTAGAATCCAAAACTTACTTTAGTATCTATTCGTTGAATGCAAATTGAGCAAATGCCAATTTTTAAGCCTTTCTCAGATTTATGAATTCTTTTCTGGTAGAAAAGCTTGTTAACATCTTTGTGCTTGATTTAGATTGCGTTGCATTACAAGTGTGACTACTAATTAAGCATGGACAGAAACATGTCATGTTTTAGTGGCTATGATCTGCTATTTGAATGTGATAAGATATGAACTAATCAGCCTATTACAACAGATGACTTAATGACTCCCTTCAGTTCAAAATGAGATTTGATACTGCAGTTTTTTTGGTGGAAAGTATACTATAAGAGAGTGAGTTTCTTCATTCATAAATGTATATCACGTATTCGGATGTTTACTGGTACAACTTTTAAGATAATAGGTGTGATTTCTGGCATTCCTAAACATCTGATGTGAATCCACTACCTTATTTGTAATTTTGCACTACTTATAAAAAATATTGGAGTCTTGAGTATGGCAATTTGTTTTTTTCCTAATTCTGCCTAAACTATTATACTGATGGCCGATGCAGTCTCATATTAGAGTGCTGGAATCTACTCCAGAGAACATAAATGTGCTATTAATGGGTCTTGAGTATCTCATTAATATCTCATATGTGGATGACACTGAAGTTTTTAAGGTACTTTTATCGCGCATCCACTGTGGTTTCCAACTTCTTCACTATAATGGTTCTAATAATAACTAAGTTGCTTTAATTTGATCTGACAGGTTTGCTTGGACTATTGGAACTCCTTGGTTCTAGAGCTGTTTGAATCACCTCATAATCTGGACAATCCTGCAGTAGCTGCAAACATGATGGGGTTGCAGGTGCAATAGATTATTTAGTCCCTTTTCATCTTTTCTCTTGTTTTAATCTTGGAATACAATCAATCCATCATTGTTTGAGGTTGAAAGACATCAAGTTTTCCGGTTGGTTATATGATGCATATAGGTTCCAGTTTTAAAGTGAAGATTTTGAAGGACCAGTTCTAGTTGCATTGTTTAGATAGTGTTTTCTTGTTGTGCGTGTCCTTGATGACTGCCCAACGAAAAGAAAATGAAATAAGTGGTGTATATTTAAGTAGGTTTCTCAAAATAGGTCTGAATATTGAGAATAGTAGAGATTCAATTGCCATGATGTCATGGTTCTGATGAAGATACCCTGATATGAGGAGCATAGGCCTTCTCTAAAAAAGAAGGTTGTGTATATCATTGCTAGTAATAAAGCGCCAATCATGTGGTGAAATTCCCATAAACTTGCTCTTCTCCAAAAGCTATTGCTAGTGAATTTGGTCATCTAATGATTATGGTTTCTTAGAAAGTTTTCCGTCACTTTCTAAAAATTGCACAGCTAATCTATGGATAGGGATTGAAAGTAGGATGGTTCTAACAAGAATTCCTTGATGCCTGATTTTTGTATTGAATTATCAGATGCCAATGTTTCCGGGTATGGTTGATGGACTTGGTTCACAAATCATGCAAAGGCGACAACTTTATGCTGTTCCATTGTCGAAGTTGAGATCGCTTATGATATGTCGCATGGCGAAGCCAGAAGAAGTTCTCATTGTTGAAGATGAAAATGGAAATATAGTTCGTGAAACTATGAAAGACAATGATGTCCTCCTGCAATATAAGGTCTTATTCTTATTGAAAAGAAGATTGACTGGAAAAGCTGAGAAAAGTGAAATATTTTTTTAACGTCAATATCTGTCAAATGCATCATTTAATCAATACATACTTTATGAAGTGCATAATTTACCTATTTATAATTAACTGCCTGATGATGTGCATGCTCCAGTGAAGGAAGTGAAGTGAGATAACCCTAATGTGTGTGAGAAGCTATTGCGATCCCTTAGCACTAGCCTCTCAGATCGCATTTGCGGAGGTTTTTTCTATTGACATTGTCTACACGTGGAAGGGCTATTTGTTGTCTGTCTTGCATTATTATGACTGACATTTTTGGTGATAAGGGGAATGTAAAACCTTATCCAACATATCATGAAAAGTATCCTCAATGCTGAAAAAAACTGTAAATGGGAAGCATTTTACTCGTTTGGTTGGGTGGGTTTCTCTTTTGGATGGTTATTCATTGAATGGATCGTCTGCCCCTCACACGCACAGTTTGAGTCTGCAGCATGGCATGTTCAATGCATTTTTTTGTTTGAAGTCTCAAGTCTCCTAATGAGAAATAGTTGCCCAGCCTTGTTAGCGTGGTTTTAGGTAGTTCCTAGAGCTCTCTAATTAGATTTTATCAATTTGAAGAACTCTGGCATGCTTGTTATTTCCAAAAATTAAAATATGCATAAGACTAAATGAGCAGGACCTCACGAATCACGATTTGTTTGGTTTGTTTTTTATTAAGATGGAATGTGTAGATCATATGAAATGATTTCTGATGATGTAAATTTGTCTATATGCTTGCGGAATAGCTGTATTGCTGATTCACGTCATAATTCTTCTGGTTTTGCTTTGGAATTTCATATATGATATTGTTCACTCGCTTGATGATTCACAATTGGCAGATAATGAAGGAAACACTGATCTACTTGGCACACCTTGATCACGAGGATACTGAAAAGCAGGTGGGGTTACTAGCAATCTCTGTGTGTGTGCGTGTGCGCGCGCTTTAATTTCTTAGCCTATGTCTAAGTAGAAACTGACCTCTCAATTTCTCAAACAGTATATGGATGTTTATTTTTTCTATTGTTGTATGTTGAATTAAGACAAATTTGAAACACCTAAACTCAGATGTAATAACTGTGAAATAAGTGCAGATATTCATTATTCCTTCTAAACTCTTTGCTGTTCTTCTCTGGAAATGAAAACCATGAGCTTTGTCTAATGAGCATTAGGTAGATAATTTCGCGTATGTGATAGAATAAATCATAAAACTTCTGCAGTTTAATTCACTTAGATTGAGGGAAAATTTGAATTACTACATCGCATTTATTCGGGAAGTGAACAGCGTTTTATTAATTGTGCTATTGCCTGGAAGTGTAGTCCAACATTCCATTGACCCTTTCAATGTTCATCAAGGCTTGAGTTCACAGTTGATCTTTTGTTTAGAGGAACATATATTTATCATTTATCTAACAGCTTATGATAGATCACTTCATATATATGGTTAATGCTTATTGAAGTCGGATGTTTCTTTGCATTGGAGGATGTTGTCGAACATGTGGAATTTCATGTATTTGGTCAAAATTTTCATTTTTCTGTATCAGAAGAGCGTCACTTAATTCTGTGGAATGCAAATATTTGATGATTATAAATTTATAATGGACATTGCATATCCTTTCTTCAGTGCAAGAAGCTTCAAAGTTCAAAATATTGATTGAGGTTTGATATATTAACTGGGACTGTGAACGTGCCAGTTTTGCATCCTATGCATTGATACATTTTTGAAAGGCTTAACGTCTTGTCATCTGCAGTCAATCAAGTTTTCATTGTGTTTATGCTTTATTTAATGGGTCTGTGGTCATACTCTATTTACACCACATTGATCACTTTTAAGGCTTGACGTACCATTATCACCACTTGCCATTTTTATGGTAGTAATTGCTGATCATTCTATTCTTACGTATTGTTAATCCTTCCTCTGTTGGTAATATTTAAGATGGTCCATTTCCTATGTCCATAGCTTTGAATTAATACGTGGTTGGATGCTGTTATCAGTATAGAATTGGATGACCTTTTCTAGCAGATTAGGCTTATCGTTTGTACAATGTCTAATTCTTGGATACGGATACAGATGCTAAATGAATCTAATGTATTGTTTAATTCTTATGTATGGATACAGATGTTAGAAAAATTAAGCAAACAATCAAATGGAGAGGATTATACCTGGAACAACCTCAACACATTGTGTTGGGCAATTGGGTCTATATCTGGGTCAATGGTTGAGGAGCAGGTAGGCCACATTTGTCTTTAAATATTTCTTTTGTTTTGCTTTATGCATGACTCATTAGGACCCTCCTTCATCAATGTTTTTCTTGTGTTTGATTTGGTCCATCTTTAATCCCTAGAGTCAAATGCTCTAGTCGATCTCTTACATCTTTTATGTTGCTAATTTTGGAGTTGTGACTCATGAAGCTTTTGCTATATTAGATTTAGGTTAAAATTGAATTTTTATATGCATATATCCTATATTTGGTTCATGTTATAAATATTCAAACTACTTTTTATTCATACATTTCGAGCCACCCACAAGGATTACCTACTTATCCACTACTCATTTTTATCTATTTATAATTTAAACTGATTATAAACACTTTCTAAACATGCTTGTAGTTATATCCCTTGTTTTTATTGCCCCTTTCTTCTTTTGATATTATCTCCCATTGAAATTAAACTTTAGATGTCATAGTTGTGATGCCCTAAATATTAGGAAGTTTAGGTGCCACCACAACGTACATAAATGTCTCACTAAACATTTAGAAACAACTTTAAAATCAACAATCATTACTAATAGCAAAAATAAAACTTATTGCCATGAGTTTTCGGAGATTTTTATATAAAAGGATTTACTAATTAAATTCTCTAATCCATTGACTAGTTCTCTGAAAAGTGGGTGCATTGCAAATTGTGAAGCCTATTAAAGTTTCGAAAGAATCATATCGTATCATACAATAAGTTTCAAACTTTAGGTGGTAGAAATTTCTTGTACGTACTGCTACTGAACTTCAGTCCCTTATCATGAATTTATTAGAACCCGTAAAACTTATTCCAAAATTTAACAACGCAATGGACAACTTACATAACACACTTACCTGGAGCTTAAAAGAATGAGAAGAAAATTCATTTTGATGCATTGACTTCTATTCAACCAAGAAAACTAATATTTTTTTTAACTGTTGTGTGAGGGGGATGTAACTTTTGTGTGTGCACGTGAGCCAGTATATGAAGAGAAAAGTAAGAGAGAAAAATGAGAGGAATGGCTAGAAAGAAAAGGTAGAAGTGAGCGTTGGTTTTGAGGCGATTATATGGTGGTTCTAAGGTTTGACCAATGATTATTGCTTTTTAGAAAATAGTCCCAAATAAGGTTTGTTACATGTTTTACCATACTAATACACATCATATTTGTGTAACCACTACTAGACTTTAAGGCAAGTCTTTCACTTTTTGGAAGTCAAATCATATTCTAGTCAAATGTGTTCCAATCACATAAATTTCTTTCTTAAAATATGTATAAATTATATTTTAATAACTATAATTATATACATATATTTATGTAAACACATCCATATAAATGAAACTATTTTAGCTAATTTGCTTTCCTAAAAGTAAGAGAAAAATTAGTCTTACCTTTAAATAGTTTTTTGGCAAGTATATATAAAAGAAAAGCATCTTTGTTTAATTAAAACCCTATTGGGTAATATATATAGGCTGAAAAACTTAAATTTTCAGAATTTGCATAATGGTCCCTAAGGTATGGATAGTTGAATAACTTGGTCCCTAAACATTCGAAATCTTATGATTAAACTTAGCCTCTGTTTGACAACCATTATTTCAAAACTCTTTTTTATACATACTCATTTTTAACTACACATTCACACGATAAAATGTTCTACATATAAACCCAAAATTTTTCTCCACTTTATAACTACACATTCTTCCAAAAATCACTATTCAAACCTCAATTTTACCCAAATAATGGTTATCAAAGAGGGGTTTAGTACTGGTTTAATTAGATGTTCAACTAAGTTTCATAGCATATGTAATTTTATCTCGCATTACGCTTAGGGCCTATTGGGAGTTTTGGGGTATCAGTTACTAGGCGTTAAATACTGATTTTGGTCATTTGAGGACTCCAATTTTGGGTGACTTTAGTAGCGATTTTAAAACAAGTTGTACCCATGCTTGGGAGTTCATTATCCAGCGGTTCTAAAAGTTTTTTAAAGAATAAAATTACATATATGATGAAAATTTTAATTTTAATTTCTGGTATGATTTTTTTTTTTTTTACTCATGAGTGATATTTTACTTATAAGTAATTTCTTACAAGTAAGTTAATTTTTAAATTTAATGAAATATTTATTATAACTAAAATTTTAAGTTCTAAGTGTTTTTTATTACTTATAGTAAATTTTACGGTTATAAGTTATTTTTGTGCTTTTGAATATTTTTTTATATGAGTGAATTTTTTTAACTTCTGAGTACTTTTTATATTTTATAAATGAATTTTTGTTTTATCATTAGTATTTTACTTTATAAACAAATTTTTATACAAAAGTGAATTTTTATAATTTTTTACTATAATTTTTTGCTTGTAAATAAATTTGGTTAATTTTTTTTTTTTTTCATTTACAAGTTAGTTTTGAACAAAATATGTGGGCTTGAAATAATTATTGTCTAGAGTGTAAAATTGGAAGAGGATTTGAGAAACAGTCACCCGCCAATTTGGTGAGTTGAGAAAAATGGTCTAAATTATATTACATCAATTTTGTGTGGTTTTTAAATCACCCAAAACAAGTGTCCAAAAAAGCTAATTAGCAACAATTTTCCCAATCTCTCATAAACAGTGCTACCCAAAATTGGTCAAGGAAAACTCCCAAGCAGCCCCTTGAACTCCGAATTTGTTACCTTGTGTCCATCTCGTTCCACAGTTGCCTCTGATATTGGGATTGGTATTTCACAGGATACCATTTTCGCTGTGTTATTTTTCATAGGTTTCAACTTTTTAAATTGTGATTTAATTTAATCTTTCTGTCAATTCAGTGATTGTTGTCAGTTTTTTTGTATCAATAATGTACCATATATTTTTGGCAGGAAAATAGATTTCTTGTGATGGTGATTCGTGATTTGTTGAACCTCTGTGAAATCACCAAGGGGAAAAATAACAAAGCCGTTATTGCTAGTAATATAATGTGAGAACTCATGACATTAAGGTTTTATTACTATCTAGATTCTGACATGCACTACTTGAATGCTGCATGAAGGTTCTTCTACAATTTAGAGAAACTTATCCCGTTTCTAATTTGTTGGATTTCTAGGTATGTGGTCGGGCAGTACCCGAGATTTCTGAGGGCCCACTGGAAGTTCTTGAAAACAGTTGTGAATAAGTTGTTTGAGTTCATGCATGAAACACACCCAGGAGTTCAGGTTGATTCTTTTTTCTTTATTTTTTCAAATTCATCTGGATGAAAAGTTGAAAACTGTGCACATCTCATCCGTGTCTTCATGTTGTGGAGATACATTTACTTTCCGGTATATGATTTTATCATTTTATCGGTGTTTCCTACACTCTGATATAGTAAATTTTTTTCCTTTTAGGACATGGCCTGTGACACATTCTTGAAAATTGTTCAGAAGTGCAAGCGTAAATTTGTTATTATACAGGTTACATTGCTTTCGATCTTTCCCGAAAATGCTGCCTTTTGGTTTATGATCAATAACATCGTGATAATAAAAACATTTACATCGAGAGTTTATCTTTTAATGCCAGGTGGGGGAAAATGAACCTTTTGTATCGGAACTCTTGACAAGCCTTGCGGTGACTATTGTAGATCTTGAGCCTCATCAGATTCATTCTTTCTATGAATCCGTAAGTCCCTTTTATATTGCAAGTATTTGGTTCCATGAAAGGTTTTAATTACAATTTTCTTTTTTTAATGTTAGTTGTAGCCAGAAATTTTTGTGCAAGGCATTAACCGTTGCCTTTCCTCTTTAGGTTGGCCATATGATTCAAGCAGAATCTGATCCACAGAAGAGGGAGGAATATTTACAGAGATTGATGCAGCTTCCTAATCAGGCAAGATCCTTGTTTATTACCTTTCTTTATGTAAATGAAGCCCATATTATTCACCTCGCTTTCTGTCCCTTAGTTGGAGCTCCATAGCTCGTGGGTAATATTAATCATTGTCTTTTGCAGAAATGGGCTGAAATTATAGGACAGGCCCGCCAGAGTGTGGACTTCTTGAAAGATCCTGATGTCATAAGGGCAGTGCTTAATATATTGCAGGTTCGATTTTTGAGTAAGATTGGGATCTTAGATATGTATGGAATATGTTGGCTTATGCATACCGATGGCAACTTTTGTCACACATGTATTATTCTTTATGAGTTGATGGACTATGAGTATTTTCAGGACGACGCTTAATTATATATTGCAAGTACGATTTTTGAGCAAGCCTGGGATCTTAAATATGTATGGTATATGTTGACTTATGGAGAACATGGTGATGATAACTTTTGTCATGCACATGTACTATTCTTTATGAGTTGATGGAAAATGAGTATTTTCCATTATTTTGTATCACTTTTATTCCCATCCCGCATTTTTTTTCTTTTACTTTTCAAAATTATGATCATTTGAGTTTTCATCCTATCCTCACAAACAGATTCTTATGCATTTTTTATGTTTCTTGGCAGACAAATACTAGTGCTTCCATTTCTCTTGGAACATATTTCTTGTCACAGATTACCCTGATTTTCTTGGACATGCTCAATGTGTACAGGTATGTCTAGATTTTGATTTTCAGTTTCACTGCTTCATTTATTCTTCAATCTTTGGAGTTCTATTCATGGCTCTTTATTCGGGAAGTTCGGTTTTTAATTGCTGGGCTTCTATTTTGTGCAACAGAATGTACAGTGAGCTTATATCTACTAGCATTGCTCAAGGAGGGCCGTATGCCTCCAGAACATCTGTTGTAAAGCTTCTACGGTGAGTTTTCAGATATGAAATGTCTTGTTTCTGAGGCACAATAGATTTTTGATTCTGCTCTTTTTTCAACAGCTCGGTCAAGAGGGAAACACTTAAGCTCATAGAGACGTTTCTAGACAAAGCTGAAGATCAACCACAAATTGGGAAGCAATTTGTGCCTCCAATGATGGACCCAGTACTTGGTGACTATGCCCGAAACTTGCCTGATGCTAGAGAGTCTGAAGTTCTTTCTCTTTTTGCCACAATCATAAACAAGTATGCAGTGTTCTTTAGTTATGTTGATGTTTCCTGTTGGAATTATATTTTTTGTGGATTCTTTTTCAATGTTTATTTATTTCCTTCTGCACATTGTTCGTTACTTGTGTAGATACAAGGGGACAATGATTGAGGATGTTCCTCGCATTTTTGAAGCTGTTTTCCAGTGTACTCTGGAGGTTGGTGATGATGTCTTTACACTTAAGCCCCTAAGTATTGTTTTTGTTCTAAACAGTGTATTATTCTTGTGAAAGTATTCTATAGTGCCAATTACCACCTAGTAGCCAGTAACTTGTACATTCCTTTGTTTTCCTGATTAATACACCAACTGAAATTAGATGCAATTGCCTGCCATCGTCAAAACGCACAAACTGCCATGCATTGTACACACACACATGCATGGACATTTATACGTACACACTTGTGTAGGTAGATATATGCATATGCTAATGCATGCAACACGTAATATACTCAAAATTATTGCCTGTCATCGAAATTGGATATGTTGAAAATGTATCATCTTTGCATTTCTTTCTACAATATTTGGTGTAAATACCCAGTAGCTGCCCTTTGTACCTCTACACTCATCTGTACTCAGACACATATATGCTTATTTGGAATTGGTTCTCTCTCCATCATTCACTGATTTCTCTGTCCCACTTTTTCCATGCACTTCTTTGGTTGCCTTGGTTTTTTTCTCTTTTCTTCTCTTTCTCTTTCTCTCTCTTTTTCTTTTTCTTTTCTTCTTTCTCTCCTCTTTCCTATAGCCGTTTTCTTCATATTTTTCCTTTTCTCCTTTTTTTTCTTTTTGCCGTCAGTCCCCTCCTCTTGCGTGAATCTGTCTGTGTATTTATTTCTCCTCTAGCTATTGTGTTCTAGGGTAATTAGAATTCCAAGTCTAATTAGATTTGAGTCCAAATCAAAGTAAAGCTCATTTTAATANTGTCTCACAGTGCTAATAAAAGAGAATACATGATAATTGCGAGTATAATCTAGTTCCTTCTACCTTTATTTCGCTTGGATGCAACTACAGTCCATCCAGCTTCTACTTCAGCCACTTCCTGGGGGCTAGGTCCATCAACCATCACGTCCTCTTCATTCAATCTTGACAGGAGCATTAACTCTCATTTTTGTTGAATCATCACCTTGTGAATCACCATCATGACTGTCGTCATCACTATCATCTTCATTGTCACTACGAGCCTGTCTGATATAAGATACACTTGGAGCATTTGTTTCCTTTAGGCTTTAATTGTGTTAAAGTTACCTTCTGCACGTTCTTCATGCATAACCTTCAACTTTTCTGCTATCTCCTCAATGTTGCCATCCCCTATCTCGGTGTTGAGAGACAGCATGAATTCATCAAGCATATCCTCTAAAGCATCAATGTATACTTTTTCTTTGGATTGAGTGAGGGCGTGAAAAAGAATTTGGGTGAGTTCGTGGGATTTCTGGGCAGAATCACGACCGCCCCACTCATTCTCAACGGCCATTCAAAGAGTGGCCCATCGGGAGATCACCAAATTTATGCCCTTGTGTAGCTGCACCTTCGCCTCCACCTCCGCCGTGACTGTGAGCAATGGATCCTTATTGCTGTCTACCATTACTTATGCGATTTTCCACTTCACCGCTCTATCGAAAAGCCCAGAACCCCAACTGCTGTCTCAAGTTCTTGACGGTTTATTATTTAATATTTATTATCTGTTGGCCTCTGCCGAATGCATACTCGCGTAGTTCATTATGGCGTCAAAGTGAGTTGGAAGCATTCCCTTATCTAAACTTGGCGGGCATTAACGTGTATCCTCGCCTGTTCCGATCATGGAATAGATGAAATAAATCAAAAAATGGATTTTTGTTCAAGAATGAAATCTTATTGGAACTGCAAACGGATGAGATTGGGTCCCATCAGATCTAAACAATCTCTGCTTCCAAGTGCAGGATAACCCCAAGGGGTTCGGCACCGGGCACATTACCCCAAGGGTGCCTTAAAGTTCCTCCACCGAACTATAGTACGGAATCATCCCCAAAGATCTCGGTAATGCTTTAAAAAAAAAACCAAATCCGTCTACAGACTACGGATGCTCCGGGTTTTGGTCAGCAGTCGCGGGCTCAGCGCCTCCTGTGGGTGGTTTTTGGTTGCCTTGGTTTCACATTTTCTTGTAATCTTGTTAGCCATTGTTTCCCATTTTCTCTCTTCCTTTTTCCTGAGCTCCTCCACTTTCTTGTTTGGCCGCCAATTTATACTTATATAAACGAGAACTTAAAAATCAAGTCTATGAGTTTTCTGGTTGAATTTATGTATGAATCAAAAGAAAGAAAATAATATGTTGAGAAACCAAACAATTGTCCGAGTTACAAAATATATTGGTTGAAGGTTGAGGTCTGATTCATCCTAATGTAACTTGGTAGACTTGTTGTGTCGTAATCACCTTGCCAATGTAATTTAATCCATGCTTGTGTGATGTATATTAATAGAATATATCTGATATAATTTTGTTCTGTTTTGACTTCACCACTGATTACAGATGATTACAAAGAACTTTGAAGATTATCCCGAGCATCGGCTCAAGTTCTTTTCACTACTTCGTGCTATCGCTGCTCATTGTTTTCCTTCTTTGGTTCAATTGTCCAGTGAGGTTTGTATTAAGCTTCAAAGTGTGATAATTCCTTTATGATTTATGGTGGTTAGCATTATGGGATTGACCTTAAGTTCAATTTATTATAAATATTCTTCCACGACAATTTTATGACAATGTGCTTTATTCTTGTTTTTGGTGGTTTGCATCAGCAATTAAAGCTTGTGATGGATTCTATCATTTGGGCTTTCCGGCACACTGAGCGAAATGTTGCGGAAACTGGACTAAACCTTCTATTGGAGATGCTGAAGAACTTTCAGGTATGTGTTTCTCTGTATGTTTTGTGTTGTATAAATAATTTATGCTAAAGGCAGCATAACTGTTGCTGTGGTTGCTTTGCAGGTTTCTGAGTTCTGTAATCAGTTCTACCGGAGTTATTTTTTGACAATTGAGCAAGAAATTTTTGCTGTTTTGACGGACACCTTTCACAAACCTGGATTCAAATTGCACGTACTGGTGCTGCAGCTCTTATTTTGCCTGGTAATATGCATGCTCATGTTTCGTCTCACCTTTATGTTGTCTTTTGCCTATAAGCATGCTAATTGCAGTTGTAATGAATCCATTATAGGTGGAATCTGGTGCCTTGAGCGAGCCTTTATGGGATGTCTCAACAGTTCCTTATCCGAATAATGGTTTTTTTGTCCGTGAATACACCATCAAACTTTTGAGTACTTCCTTCCCCAATATGACAACAGCCGAGGTATAGAAGTTAAAATTTCTGAAGCATTGTTTATAGACAAGCGCAATGTTCCAAGGCATTAATTATTACTGACTGAATGGATCTTTTCAGGTGACCCAATTTGTGAACGGACTCTTTGAGTCACGAACTGACCTTTCAACTTTCAAGAATCACATACGAGATTTTCTGGTGCAATCAAAAGAATTTTCAGCCCAGGTGAAGTGTTTCTCAGTTACAAGCTTTGGTTGTCATGGCTTCTGTTTACGTATCCTTCTGTCAAAGATGCTTCTGTTTTCTTCAGTACCCTATATTCTGCTTTCTGTAGATGTTTAATTTTAATGGTTCATTGAGCACAGGGAATGTCTTCCATTTGTTTTACTCCTCCCCAAACCCCCAACCTTTTTGGGATCTTTCAGGTCATGGAATGTTTTTCTTTTTGCTGTTTTCCTCCTGCAATTTTTTCAAGTGATACTTTACAAAATAAAGGACAAGTGCATTTATAAAACCCTTAGATGAATTCTGCCTTTGGTTGTCCTTGATGGAGTGTTCGACTTTTGGATGATTCATTTGACTTTTCCTGAAGTCCTTTGGTGGCAAAATGTTGAGTTTTTCTTTTCGATTCTCTTCCTTTATCAGTACAATCTCTTGGGTTACAGTTGAGAAGTCCATGATAATCATGAAAGAAAAATCTGAATAGGGTTCTGCATGCATCTTTTTTATGTTTATAAAAGCCTTGAAGACTTGTCCTTTGTTCATCTTGGATGAAAATGTATATTTTAAGGTTAAGACTCATTTATGATGAATTTGATTAAGAAATTCGAAAATAACTAATATTGCTTGCAGATGTGTCTCCTGATATCAGGGAGAAGTTTGATTTGAAGTTTTTTTTTCTTTTCTGATATTGTTCAGTACTATGCAATCCTATACAAAACATGCCATTAACGTTTTTACATGAACTTTATATGGTCTTGTGAACTTGCTCTATCGGCATGTTGGGAATCTTATTTCAATTATAAAACCATGGTGCAGGACAACAAAGATCTCTATGCGGAGGAAGCTGCTGCTCAGCGAGAAAGGGAGCGACAACGTATGCTTTCCATTCCAGGCCTAATTGCACCCAATGAGATACAAGATGAGATGGTGGACTCATGAATGTTGGAAAATCTTTCTGCATAAACTAGCATCAGGGATTTTTAACTTAAACAAGGGTTGGTCACTTAGAGTTCACTCCCTAAATAATATCAAGGTCTGATTTGAAATTGTCTCCCAATTGTATTTTATCACGTGCCCAAATTGTTGTCTTACTTGAAGTGATGACCAGTGGAGGCGCCACGCCCAGGAACCATGGATTTGCTGCTCAAGGAAACATTTGTCGGGTGTAGAGTAATTAGATCCTAATTTAGGGAATACAGCTTGTGACATTGTAATTGAGGAATGTTTAAACTGACTGTTGAAATGGCCTCACCAGGTGGCTATCAGCAATTTAAAATAGGTCTAATATATACAATATTGCAGGTTGTGCAGAAATCGTTTTTGTCTCATTTTTTATAGAACAATTATGTATTTCAGAATTCGGGTCTGCTATGTTACTTCTTATTATGTTTTGGATTATGGCACCTTGTATTGATGAGAGTGATCGTCTCAATAAGGTTGCATTTTTCCCATTTGGTTCCAGCTCTGCAATATATTTTTTTTTTGGCTTGGCGATAAAATTCCAAGCACTACAATCTTGGTAACAAGTTAAGGCGAATTTTGGTTCAATGGTTATAATTCAATAGTTTCAATACATTTTCACTATTAAAGTAATTTTTGAGCTGAATTTGTTGTTTGTTATTAAAGGTTGTTATTTTAAGGATTACTTTTGTGTTTGGGAATTTATTATAAGATCTTCAAATGACGGACCCAAAACCTGTAAATTTTTAAAAGCAGAGAATTACAAGTTTGCTGTTGGAACGTGTGCAAATGGATGCTTTGGTTACTCTGGTGCTGAAGCCAGTAATGGTTAGTGTCTGAGATTTTGGTCAAGTGAATTGGACGCTTGTGCCACTGCGACTTTTCCGTAATTGTGCTGTACATTTGGGAGTGTTTGACATGATACTGTAGTTAGTCGTGTTGTAGTCAGTCCCGTACTGCTGTGAGCCTGTGACAAAGCACAAGCGATGGCATCCAAATACGAAAGAGTCGGCTTTCTTGTACAATATCTGGTATGGCATGAGAAAATCAAGCTTTTCTTGAGGCAATCTGTGGGCACAGCTTCAATCATCATCCATTTGACCTGGTTGCACATACTTTGCATTCGTCAAGCAAGATGCTGAGTCTTCCTCGAGTTGGTGACTTACCTGAACATTGCTGGGCAAGATATCATATTGAAAATTATCATATGACGAAACAAAATATTAACTAAATTTATTTGAAAGTGTGACTTTTTTAACTATACAAGCATATACCGATAAGGGAAAAAGGCTGCTGCCCAGGTGAAAGAAAGTTAGTTATTCACGGGCTTCTTGGCGTCCCTCCTCACATCCCAAATCATTTTCTTTCTTTTTCTCCCAAGTAAATAAACATCCATCAACAGATTAGGATGACAGATTTTTCCCAAACAAATACTATTTGAGATGGATACATTAACATCTAGCTAGCTAAATCGAATCAATACCTCATCACTTGCTAAAGAATAAAATATATTTCAATCTGCTATTGCAGATGAGTGTGTAACAGTTGAATCATATCTGGAGATGAAATGGGACAAAATTTGATTACATGAAAAGAATTAAGATCAAATTTCCACTTCTAAAGTGACGTTATACAGAACATTTTAGCCAAATGGTGGGTCGTACACTAGATTATTCCAAGAATAGAGAACACGTTACAAGAAGTGAAAATTGAAAAGGGGAAACAAGAAGAAGCTGGCTGCAATAATCAATTAAGAAAAGAGAGGTGGATTTGTACTATTGGGACGTCTACATTCACAAGTGCACAGGCTTCTTGATTCTTTCACCACACGCTGCAATCTCCGTACATGAAGCTTCACGTTCACCAACTTACCGGCCATCTGTTCACACCACCAGAAATCACAATTATTAGTTTTGAACTTAGAAGCCTGACTAGAAAACTTTCATTTCACATCTCAGAAATTGAAACACCAATATAATAAAAAGCACTTACGGAATAAATACCTAAGCAAGCTACAAAATACAGGCAAGCTATGAAGCCCCAACCCAAACAAGAACACGCTCAATGCAAACAATTCTTTCTATCATATTTATCAGAATTGTCATTTTCACGATTCTTGATGTTTATGATGCCTGCTGCATGTTTTTGAGATATAAATGAGGAAGAAAGATACCGCATTATATATCCAAACTTTATCTCCATTCCTCACTCATATTAAGAAAACTCAATATATAAGTATGAACATTCAGAATCACAGTGATGCCTTTCTAACAGTGATCAATACTAATTGTCTAAATCTAGGGTACACAAAAAAATTATCCCTTTTATTTAATAAAGTGACTGCCCATCCATCCCTCCAAAATAGGGAGAGAAAATCTAGAACTTAAAAAAGACACCCATAAGAGGGGTCCATCTAGTATATTCTACTCTAACACAAGGAGCCAACACCAAGTCATCAGTCCTACCAATCAAATTCACACATTAAAACGTTTAGCATCCAACAATGGTACTGTCAACTGTGTCAAAAACCAACTCCTCATACTGCGTACAAAAAATTTACAGATTGAAGCAACAAGAGCACTAGATAATGATGGCAGCATATTAAGATTAAGTATAGATAGAGTAACACACCATTCTCCAAACCAAGTCCTCCGGCCCCATTGGTTGAGCTGGATGAGAATACAAGAAATGTCTAGAGTGCTGCAATATAAGAACATTTAAACTCAATTCAGTTTCACATTGTTCACCAACTTAGATCCAGCATTCAAAAATGAATCAAAGTTGATGAACACAGGTGTCCGAGGATTGGAATTTTGATTCATATATTATAAATGGTGTAAGAAGAAATCACTGCAGCCCTAAATTCCAACACGACTGATAAGTTGAAGCATGGGGAGTGAAATTAGCAATCTTAACAAATTGGAGATGCAAATACCTTGACTAAATTCAATTGCATCTCTCTAATTTGAGCAGGACTAACACTTCGCAGAAATGTCAAGAGCCATCCAGGCTGCAACGCATCGTCAGAAGAAACAAATAAAGCTATCTGCAAGTAAAACAATAGCCTCTATCACCAAACAGAAGCCTTATGAAAAATCTTATTAATATAGAAAAATGTAAGCTACAGTTCTATAAAAAAGCTGCTGGTTAAACAAAGATGTTATATTCATGTGGGGGAAATCTTCTCAAAGCCATCTAATTAATTTCTTCAATCAACTTCTGAAATCCTAATATATCTTTCAAGTACTGAATTGAAGAATTGAAATTTTATATCATGAACATCCTATGCCGACCCTTTCTCTTCCAATTCATCAACTCATGTCATTAGTGTAGGAGATGTATTGAAAATTTGAATAGCCAAACCTTGACCAATACATGCATACCTTTCGATAGTCGAGTATTCCCTCAAAAGGAAGCTCCAGTTCATCACTAATTACAACAGGAATGCACCCACTGACGATTGCGTCAAACAATCTAGCAGATGAAGGGGTGTCACCAGCCGGATTAAGGCAAAATACAGACCTGCACACCAATGCAGCAACTACACATAGATCAGAAAAAAACTATTTTTATTGACTATGATGCTAAAACATCATTAGGCATACAATTCAAAAATTACTTTCTCATGCCACTTTGAGCTGCTGCTTTTCCTGCCTCTCCAGCACTCCCCTCCTCTATATCCACATCCTCAGCGCTACTAAGTTCTGTCACAAGTTTAGCACGGATTTTCCCACCCTGGAAGCATAAAAATGAAATTCAAAGCAGTTGACTGACAAAGACAGGAAATGAAACTAATACATTCCCAGCCCCAAATCCCAATCAATTATGCTTGGCACTTCAGTATAGCAGACTCACTGCTCCCACAACCCAACCTACCCCCAGTCACATCCTTTGTTGCCCCCATCTAAATCAATATAGAAGGGCTTTTAGCAGGAAAACTAGAACCATCTAAACAGACTTAAAAACTTTTTTTCTTGTTCCAAAGGACAAAATCTTACAGCATTTCGTTTCAGCCTCCCACGAAAAAATAGCAATATGTTTCTCTTTGAATCCGAAATGCATTTTGAATCACACAAATCAACATTTGCAACATATGGAAGTATTAAGTCTTTTTCAAGGTAAACTTGTCCAGGCTTGTACCTTAAAAAGACAAAAACAGTTACATATCAGCAGCTATAAATTCATATATTTGGTATACTACTTGTAACTCTTGAGTCCAACGCTCACCAGTTTCCTGTTGAGTCCATATCTGGAAGGAGCCAAATTGCAGTCTTCATTAATTTGCGAACAGATTTAAATGACCAAGGGTGGTGAACTGGAAGTATGTGATCTCTGCCCTCAGACCGCTTCCATGCTGGCTGGTCTGTGACCCACTTCAGGGCTTCCTACATTTTACAAATTGTAATATATTTCTTCCAGTTGTATGATTAGAACAAATCTGGACTTAAGAATTTTACTGCAATTGCTTGATTAGAGAGATAAAACAGGTTCTTTTAGCCTCCGTTTGTTTCTCATTTTTCATCCATAAAAATGAAAAATATGACCGTTATCCATCACATCAAACCATCAATTTTGAGTTTCTATCTCTTGTGTGGGCCCAATAACGACTATATTTTTCATTCTCATTCTACAATAATGAGAACCAAACAGGCCCTTAGCAAGTAAAGTTTTAAGAGAAGTGTAGAGGTAGATATATTCAACAATGTCACAGGATAATAGAGACCTCAGACACAGAATTCGTTTTCGGTCCTTATCAGAGAATCTAGTATCTTGATTTAGAGTCTAAAATTTAAGATATTTGGCATCATCATATTATGCATTTATAAATAGATAACTAGTGATACTGATATAGAGAAATCCCTCCACGCAAACAAATAATTTGCACCTACAGACACTTTATAGTCCTGAAAGAGAGTCATCACTACATTGTAAACACACTCTGAGCATCCTCTTGGATCTCATCATGCGAAAAATATATACTTCAAACAATGCCAAGGCATGTTGAATGTTAGACACGCATAACTTAATGACATTAAAAAGAACACCAACAGAAGATGGATTATTTACATTCAAAACGGAACCTTCATAAAGATTATAGGTAGCTTAGCTTCCTGTGACATAGTATATTTTAAATTGTATTAAGAGGAGAGTTCATGGCTACCTGTAGCAGCCAATTAGCCAACGCATATAGCAACTTTAGAATTACCCTTACATTGCTTCAATTTGAAGGGGAGATTAAGCAACCGATAGAATGCTATATACCAGTACAGGATATCATCGAATAATTTTTGCTGAGAAGTGGAAGTTTCCAATTGACAACTTTAATAATCAATTGCAAGGGATAAAACCACTAAAATGCACAAACTCACTAACTGAGAGAGTCTACTAATATTCTAGATCTCCTTTACAGTAATTCAATAAGGGTTTCCATAGTTAGTATAATAATTGCAAGATTTATAATCATGCAAATTAGCAAGAGGAAAGACTAAGCATAAGTATTATGGGAACGCACTCACACCCTATAAAGCGCCTTGCATTGTTGTTTCTCCAGCAAGAAGAAGCTAATCGTAGTGAAAAATGGAATGTAAAATAAGTCAGCTTCCTCCTGCTTGTGAACTCTAACAACGTTCTTCAACAACCTCTCAGACTCGGGCGCTATCAAATCGGCCCATAACCAGTAATCAATTGAATGCTACAACAAAAAATTACCAACAATCATCCACATAAATAAATAAATAAAAACTCACACGACATCATTAAAAAAAAAAATTCGGAATTAAAACTAATGTATTACTTGTTCGATTAGTCGGTGAACAGGGCTGCCATTGGAAGTCAGATTATTCGTCTCTTTATACGTATTTCGAAACAGCCACAGCAAATCATAAGTAAATTTCGATGGCATATTATAAACATAAACCCTAATAGGTGAAGAAAGGGGATAAAACGAATCATCATAAAGCCTCTCGGTCTGTTTTCGTGAAATCAAATCATCTAGTTTTTCAGCATCCTGTGGGGTCACTGTAGCAGTCACCGTATCATCGGGAAGTGTATGATGAGATTTG